CTGGCACCTGAACATACTTCTGGAATGAAATAATATCGTAAACCGGGGGGCCACTGTATATTTATTGTTTTCAAGGTGATGACAGTAACAAAAAATTTAGAATATCAGATTGGAAGGAGGTTGTATGGAGGAACTGAATGTGTTCAGATATTTGGGAATGAACTTGTCAGTGGATGGGTATGTGAAAGATGAGGAGAACCATGGAGTTAATGAGGGGAAAATGGAGAATGATTTATTGAGGTATTGGAGACATAGAAGATTATCTATGGAAGCAAAAAGGGGAATGTATGAGAGTATAGTGGTACCAACACTCATTTATGAGTGTGAAGCATTAGCTGTGAATATTGCAGCGAGGAGGAGGCTGGAGGCAGTGGAGATGTGTTGGAGAGCAATGTGTGGTGTGAATATTATGCAGAAAATCTGTAGTTTGGAGATTAAAAGGTGTGAGATTGCTAAAAGTATTATCCGGAGGGCTGAGGAGAGGGTTATTGAGGTTGTTTGGACATAAAGAGAGGATGGTACAAAATAAGATGACTTGGAGGGTGTATAATCTGTAGTGGAGAGAATGATGGGTAGGGGTCGTTCTAGGAAAAGTTGCAGGGAGGGGATAATGCTCTTTGTCTCCACAGATGCCTTGATGCACCACCCACCTGTTCTCCCCATATCAGTTCTGCGAATCACCTCAATAATGTTCTTTGTCTCCATGGATGCTTCAGTGCACTACTTGCCTTTTTCTCCCTCATCAATTCTGTGATTCACCTCATATTTCATAGACCCATCTGCTGACAAGTCCACTCCCAAATATCTGAACCAATTCACTTTCTCCATATGCCCTCCTCCTAATCTGATATCCTAAATTTTTTGTTACCTTCATCACCTTGCTCTTTCCTGTGTTCATTTTTAATTTCCTTCTTTTAAATTTTTTTTTATTCAACACTGGCTGTCTCCCACCAAGGCAGGATGACCCATAAAAAAACACTTTCACCATCATTCACACATAATCACTGTCTTTGCAGAGGCACACAGATATGACAGGTCAGATGTCACTCCAAACAGCAAATATTCCAAACCCCTCCTTTAAAGCATGGGCATTGTACTCCCCACCTCCAGGACTCAAATTCACCCACCAACTTTTTTTAACTTCTTTTCAGAATCTTTCAAAAGCACATTGTCATCTGCAAAAAGCAACTGTTTCAACTCTCACTTTGTATTAGATTCTATACATTTTACTCCTACACATCTCGTCAACACCCTGGCATTCACTTCCTTTTCAACATCTATAAACATGTTAAGCAACCATGGTGACATCATGCATCCCTGTCTGAGGCCTACTTTTACTGGAAGATAGTTTCCCCTCTCCTACGTACCTTAACCTGAGCCTCATTACCCTCATAAATCTCTTAACTGCTTTCAGTAATCTACCACCTATTCCATATACTTGCAACATCTGCTTCCCTTTCCACCCTATCATGTGCCTTTTCTAAATCCATAAATGCAACAAAAACTTCCTTACCCTTATCTTAATAGTGTCCACTTACATTCTTTAGTGTAAGCAGCTGGCCTACACGTCTCTTATAAGCCCTTCTTAAAACCTCATTATTCATTGCAGTGTTGCTCTTTGTCTTACCCTTAATTCTTTTAGTAATGATTCTACCACACTTTTATTCCCATTTTCTTTATACCAACAAACTATGCATGCTTTCTACTATGTACCTTCCCCTCTTCCATACATTTATTGAACAAAAATACCAACCACTCCAAAACTACAGTACATATAGACCCACCTGCTTTTAACATTTCTATCTTGATCCCACCATTCCTAGTTGCTTTACCCCCTTTCATTTTACCCACTGCCTCGTGCACCTTTCCCACACTCACATTTGGCTCTTCCTCACTCCTAATTTTATTGCATGAAATCACTGCAAAACACACTTCATCAACAATGAATAGCTCCTAAATATATTCCTCCATTTTGACAATACCTCCAATTCCCCATCTAATAACTCCCCTCTTTTGTTTTTAAGTGTTAAATCCATGTGTTTCCTAGGCTTTCTCAACTTATTAATCTTGCTCCAAAACTTTCTCATTTTCAGCAAATTTGTTGACAGAATCTCACTCACTCCATTGCTCTCCTTTTACTCTCCCTCACCCCACTCTGAACTTCTCTTTTACTTTTCATATACATAGTCCTCCCTCCTTATATCAGCTCTGCATTGTAAAAACCTCTCATATGCAAACTTTTTCTCTTTAGGTCATCATTTCACCAATTGTTAACCTTCCATCCCACACCTACCCTCCTGTATCCACAAACTTCTGCTGCACTCTCACACTGCATTCCTAATTTTTTTTATAAAGATTAAATAGAATGTTGGAGAGCTATAGTTCTCTTCTGTTTATGTTCATTTTACTGATAATCAATCTTGCTTGTTTGGTGTGATTTCATCTGCTATCATCACCCTCCAACTGTTAAGAAAAGGCTTGTGGATTTATTGGTATGTGTGCAAACTGTATTTTGGATGTGATGTTCTCTTTGAAAATTCTTCTTAAGTGGGGTAGCCTTATACACTGTCATTTCCCAACATTTCAGATACCTTCAAGCACTGAAAACCCTTGAAAAAACACAGAATCAGTATTTGTTAAAGACATTTATATGCTAATTTTACTATTTTGTATTTCAAGTACCAGTAGCTGATTTGCAGAGTGAAACAAGAATGTATGGCATGACAGGGTTGCCTCAGTCAGCATATACAAAAAAGAAAGTAGAAAAGCAAAGCCACAAATTAGGAAAATTATGCCAAGGAAAAACAGTTTTCATTATAAAGGCAAGTGCCTTTATCTATAATGCTGTAGATATGAAAAAATAAGCAGATCACTAGATGACACTACAGCAAAAGGGTAGTCAAGGAATTGTCAGTGGAAGAAACGTATCCATTTTACATCCTATGGCAGCTTTTATGGGCATCCAAGGCTGACTGGCCTATTATATTTCACATATGCAGTACTTGTTGTAGACTTTCAAAGTTTGTTATGTGCCTTTCCTATGTAAATATACATCTGGTTTAGAAAAAAGCATATAAACAAACACTATGACATATTTATTAGAATATGTCTTAGTGGTAGTAGGGTAGTAGACAGCAACCTCCCAGGGAGGTACTACCCCCCTGCCAGGTGAGTGTAAAACGGAAGCCTGTACTTGTTTTACATGATGGTAGGATTGCTGGTGTCTTTTTTTCTGTCTCATAAACCTGCAAGATTTCAGGTACGTCTTGCTACTTCTACTTACACTTAGGTCACACTACACATACATGTACAAGCATATATATACACACCCCTCTGGGTTTTCTTCTATTTTCTTTCTAGTTCTTGTTCTTGTTTATTTCCTCTTATCTCCATGGGGAAGTGGAACAGAATTCTTCCTCCGTAAGCCATGTGTGTTGTAAGAGGTAACTAAAATGCCGGGGGCAAGGGGCTAGTAATCCCTTCTCCTGTATATATTACTAAATGTAAAAGGAGAAACTTTCGTTTTTCCTTTGGGCCACCCTGCCTCGGTGGGATACTGCCGGTGTGTTGAAAGAAAGAAAGAAAGAAACCTGCAAGATTTCAGATACGTCTTGCTGTTGCTACTTACACTTAGGTCACACTACACATGCATTTACAAGCATATATATACACACACACCCCTCTGAGTTTTCTTCTCTTTTCTTATTAGTTCTTCTTATTTATTTCCTCTTATCCATGGGGAAGTGGAACAGAATTCTTTCTCTGTAAGCCATGCATGTTGTAAGAGGCGACTGAAATGCTGGGAGCAAGGGGCTAGTAACCTCTTCTCCTGTATATATTACTAAATTTAAAAGGAGAAACTTTCGTTTTTTCTTTTGGGCCACCCCGCCTTTGTGGGATATGGCCAGTTTGTTGAAAGAAGAAGGATCTCTCTTTCCTACACACCCTAACCTGAGCATCACTGTCCTAATAAAGACTTTTTACTGCATTTATTAACTTACTACCTATTCTATACACTTGAAACATCTGCCACATTGCTCCCCTATCCACCTTGTTATATACCTTTTCTAAATCCATAACAGCAATGATAACTTTCCTACCTTTATCTAAATGTTGTTCATTTATATTCTTCAGTGTAAACACTTGGTTTACACATCCCTACCCATTCTAAAGCTGCCTTCTTCATCAGTGATCTTACTCTCGATCTTACCTCTAATTCTTTCGATAATAGCTCACATATTTGTTGGGACAACTGTAATTTTGTTTTATTTTTTTTATCTTATATGTTATGTACCTGTTATGTTAAGCCAGTCTACATACAGCCTCTCCTCACTTAACGACAGAGTTCTGTTCCTAAGACCACATCTTTAAACGAATTCATCACTAAGTGAGGAGAATACCATAATGGTAGTGAGTTTGTGTCAACCATCTTTCATATTGTTTTAATGTCACCTTTACACCATTTATAACATTTCTGGTATATTTTAAATGTTTATACAGTAGTGTACTGCATATTGAAATAAAGAGAATAGAGGAAATCAGCTCTAATAAGCATTATTCAGGTATGAATATTGGTCAGAGAGCTTGTCGTAAGTCCAAGGCATCGGTAAACTAGTACGTTGCTAAGTGAGGAGAGGCTGTATTTATTTGTGTGTATATTGTAAGATGGTTGATGGCTCAGTGGTAATGCTGTCAGCTCACTGACTGTTGTGGGCGGCATCCTGAAGTGGTAGGATTAAAGCTCTTAGCCTGTAAAATTCAACACTGTAAAGAAAAACACATTATTGACTTGCATAATAGCTCAGACTAGTGTATAGAACAATTTGGTGAAGGCTTTACATGTTCCTTCAATAATTTTTTTTAACACCTGAGGGTAACCGAGATGTTGTGAAACATGTATAAGGCAACTCCTTCAAACAGTCTCTCTCATTCACAGCCCAAACAAGGGATCAAAAAATAGGTTTAACTTAATTCCTTCTGCCACAAACTTGAACCAACAGGTGACAGGGTGTATTTCTCTGGAGACTCGATGATTGGCCTTAATGGAGCAATTGTGGCCCGTGCAACTCCCTATAGCTTGATTGAGGTGGAAGTGATAACTGCAACAATTGATTTGGAATCAATTCGCTGTTATCGCTCACTGATTCGAAGCAGATGCCTCCGCGCATCTCAGAGTCACACTTATCCTCGTGTTCAGGTGATATCTTGTTTGTATGTAAAGTATTTAAAAATATAACAAACATATCTAGATGCATCTTACATTTGATTGTTTCAGACTCAGCCTTTTATTAAAAATTTCCATTGCTTTTTCTAATAGCCTTTAAGGTTTTTATAAGCTATTAACATGAAAATTGAGAGTTGCTGAATTTGTTTTTTCAGAGAGATTATCTTGTATTGTTATTATTTTTGTTTCAACTGACTGAATTAGTGACAGTAATAATTTACTTTAAATAGGATAGGTAATACAAAAAGACAATGGGCAATATAAGCCTTCTTTGGATTCTATGATGCTTAGGTGTAACCTTCATTAATGTCTGCCTTGATCAAGGAGCAGAACATTTCCAAACTTGATGTTCCATTTAAGCCACCAGATGAAAAGCTTAAATTTTCAAACCATTTTTCAGATTTTAAACACTTAACAATAAATGTTTGCTCCAATAATCCTCAAGTCTCAGATTGTCTTATCACTAGTGTTATATTTACTATACTCAGTCAGTTCTTATGTCAATGTTATATGAATAACAGAAGGGTGGATGAGGGGGCTTGAACTGTGGTCTGCAAATTGATAGCCAATGCCTTGCTTGGTAGTTCAAGTCCCTCTTCCACCCTTTGCTGACAGTTGTTTTTTAGAACTTAATTTGAGTTCAGTGTTATATGGTTACATTAGCTTGATTATTTCTAGTACTCTATAGCTATTTTTTTTTTTTTTTGCCATATCTTTATTTCATCATATTCTTCACCTTTGGTGCAGGCAAAGGGCTCGTGATACAATGAATTACAGCTACTTTTCTCTTCCTCGGAAGAGGAGGGTAACTCTGGTATTAGCATTTCCCATGAATAAAATAGTAGTCTTCAGTTTCCATTCTCATATTCTTAGTTTGTTCATACAGCTAAAGTCCTGTTATCTGACTTCCAACATTCTGATTACTCCAACATTTAGTTTCACATCATAATTGCCAGTAGGACAAAATACCAGGTAGATAACACTAGAAATGCTCAAGTTAACCTGCCACTGAATCATGGATCATATTTGGTTTAGTTGAATATTATTCCCCTTCCCCTCCAAACTTGTTGAATGGGTATATTTACACTTAATATAATGTCCTAATAATCTATCAACATACAGGAACTGGTCATTATATTAAAGGTATTCAATATTGACAAGTTGATGAATAAGACTTGTGCAGAACCTGGGTATCTTTATTGGTGGATGAATAAGACGTGCAGTACCTGGGTATCTTTATTGATGAGATGTCTTACCTGTGCAGCAGACTTTATCAATCTAATGGAGAAGCATGTTACATACAGTTCCATTCCCAGAGGTTCCAGCCATTCTAGAAACACGGATACTGCAAAATGCTCTCTATTTAACCCTTTCAGGGTCCGTCCCGTAGATCTAAGGCTTTACGTTCAGGGTCCAAACCGTAGATCTACGTCATGAGCTCAGCTCACTCTGATAAACTGTGAGTGGTAAATTTGGGCCTAGATATGAGAGAATACATCTATGTGGTATGTGTGCACCACATAAAACAAATCCTGCAGCACACTGTGTATAATGAGAGGAAAAAAAACAGACCATAATTTTCGATTAAAACAGCCACTTTGCAGTGTTTTTTCGTATGTTTTTTATAGTTGTATTTGTGATTTCTTGGTCTCATTTGATAGAATGGAAGACATATTACAGAAATAGAGATAATTTTGATTGGTGTTAGCACTGGAAATGGCTTGAAACTGAGCTCAAAGTGGCGGAAATGTTAAATTTTTGCCGATGTTCAAGAGTAAACAAACGACCTCACACGTCTAATACACGCCAGCTGGTGGGTCTAATATACATTCACAAATGTGGTGATGATATTTATACAATTATTACAATATTGCATAACAGTAAATCTTCTATTTTTTGGTGTGAATAAAAATTCATTATGTGAATAAAAAATCAAAATGGAATTTATTTGTAAAGCCTCAAAACGTAACTAATGAACAGAGTTAATGTTAGTTTAGTGCCAGGAATACCTACATTGTTTATTCTGGACCCTATTTTGAAATTGGAATATTTTGAGCTTTGTGTTAAATTGGCCAAATTACCAATTTCCGGTCACCTAATTTTGTAGTTGAAACAGTTGACTTGGTGATTTCTTGTGCTCAATCGATAGAATAGAAGTAATACTAGTGAAATAGCTAAGAATTTGGTCGGCTGGAATAATGTAATTGGCCTAAAATGGGAGTCAAAGTCGGCAAAATCGCCAATTCGTAAATATCGCTGACACATCAAAATTCACGAGAGCATAATTTCGTCAGTTTTCCATCAAATTTCGTACTTTTTGTTTTATTACATTCACAAAAAGATTCTCTACCATTTCATAAGAAAAAAATAAAAAATTTTTTTTTTGAAAATTCTTGGACACTGGGGCACCACTTCAGATTTTGGCCTTGGACCTTGAAAGGGTTAAGAACTTTATTTCAGATAAGGGTTCTTCTTTACTTAAAAAAGTCATGTCACTTCAAATATTGCTATTTTTTAATTAATAATGAAATTCATAAGAATTTTATGAAAGAAAAGAGATTTAGGCATAAGAGATACAGTGAATATATTAATTTTTTTTATGATTGGTTTATAATTTAGGGGTTGTGGACCAAGGCAAAAGAAGAAAAAAAAAAATCTGGAAAAAAAAAGCCAGTAAATGTATTCAAAATAATTTGGAGGGAACCCTCCCTTCAGTAAAACTGTTGAATCATTAAAATCACTAAACTCAGACTAAAATACATGTTGTACCACAAATTTTGTGGGACTGACAGTATAGTGTGTTAGTTCCAAAAATGTCATTCTTTATACCCACTCCTGTATTAATAAATGAGGCATACATAACCACAGCAAGGATGATAGGACTTAGGGCATCTTTATTGGATATGTTTGGTTTGGTCCTTGAAGTTGTTCATTACAAACATTACAAGAGAATGAGAAAGCACAGTATAGTACAGTAGGCCCCCACTTATACGGTAAGTTTGGTCCAGCCTACTGCCGAAAAGTAGACATCGCTGGAAAGGAGAACGCTATTTGTTTCCACTTGTAAATGTCAGATAATAAGTTCACGCTAACATATATTAAGTTAGCAATAGAACAAGGCATAAAAAAAAAGTAAAATACACACAATACACTCATTATTTACCTCAAAATATTTGTAATCTTAATGTAGGGTGAGAAGTGAATGGTGTTTATTGTAAGAAGTTAGGTGTGGTAGGTATGGTAGCCAGTCAGGCCACCCCACCCCACCCCACCCACACATAATATACTTCGACATTTAAAGAGCGATAAAATGCAGTGTACACTCATTACTCACCTTAAAATATTTGTAGTCTTAATGGTTGTTAATATAGGGTGCAAGGTGAATAGTAGGGTAGGTAGGTATTGAATAGTGTGGTAGGTATTGTAACCTTATCTGGCCACCCCACCCACACATTATATACTAGGCATTTAAAGCTCCCTAGAGTGATAAAATGCATATACAGTGGACCCTTGAGTTTCAAACTTAATCCGTTCCAGGAGCTAGTTCTAAAGTCCTGATGTTCGAAAGTCGAACCAATATTTCTCATAAGAAATAATGGAAATACAATTAATCTGCTCCAGAAACCCAAAATATTCACAAAAAAATACATTTTATAGAGATTACATTATAGTTTTACATATACACAACAAACATACATACTAGTAGAATTAGTAATAAATTTAAATAAACATAAAATAACCTTTTTACTTACCTTTATTGAAGATTGGTGATAGCATCTGGAAGAGAGGGAGGAGAGAGAGAGAGAGAGTTGAGGTTATTGCTTGGAAGGAAAATTCCCCTTCATAAGGACTTCAGGTATCAAAGCCCTCTCTGAGGTTACTTCCCTTCTTCTTTTAATTCCACTAGGACCAGCTTGAGAGTCGCTGGACCCCAGTCTCACAAAATAACTGTTCATAGTCCTCTGTTTCTGGTGCCTCTTTAAGGGGTATGTAGGCACTGAAAAATTCAAACCCCCAACAAGTGTTCAGTTGTGACAAAACAGGCCTGTTTTGGAAGAAAATGCCAAAGAGGATCTATATCACAAAGGAAGAAAAGGCACTCCCAGGATACAAGCCTATGAGAAACAGGCTAACTCTTTTGTTCTGTGCTACAGCTCAGGAACTTGCTTCAGAGGAGGAAGAGGGAGTGGAGGAGGTGCCTTCTTCAGTGATTAAGGACATGTGTGCAAAGTGGAATGAGTTCCAAACTTTCGTTGAAAAGTATCACCCTGACCAAGCTGAAACAAGCCATCTCTGCACATGTTCAATGACAGAACCATGTCCCACTTCAGGGAAATGTTAAAATTCCTGTACAAATTTCTCAGTCGCCGTTTGTCTGAACTGGCTGCCTCACCATGCCTTACAACATTGTGTATGCCACTACGCTTCTTTAATCTTTCCAGCCAGCCTTTGCTGGCCTTAAATTCACTGGTTCCAGGAGTTTTCTTTACCAAGTCGGCATGCAACTTCCTTGCCTTTTCACAAATAATCATCTCCGAACACTTATCACCTACCATCTCTTTATCCTTGATCCACACCAGCTCAACCTGATCAATCCACACCTTTTCAACCTGATCGACTGTCTGTGGTCTATTTTTGGTTAGCTTATCAACACCTTTTGCAACATCAGCTTCCTTGATTTGTTCTTTCTTTGCCAGGATAGAAGCGATGGTGACTTGCTTTTGCCATACATCCTGGCAAGCTCAACAAATCTCACACCACTCATATTTTTGTATTATTTCCTTCTTCACATCTATGGTATTTCTCACTTTCTTCACCACAGGGGTACCACTAGCAAGTTTCTTTGGGCCCATAGTGGCTTATTTCACAGTCGCACAAGCACTAAACACGATGAATTAATAGTGAATGTTTGAATGAGTGCGCAGGTTAGTGTTCACTCAAGCCTCAACAAAGGCAGACTGCTCATGACGCCT